GGCCACCGCAGCCTCGACCTGCTGGGCTCCGGCGATTCTTCCGCCTCAGCCTCCCAAGTAGCCGGAATTACAGGCATGTGCTACCATGCCCGGCTGATTTTTTGATTTACTGTAGAGATGATAAGTCTGTTTTCTGAAAGGATAAATTCTACTTTTTAGATCTAGGTATTTTATTTAACTAACTTCTTTTGGTATTATTTTACCTCTTAAATGCTGAAATATTTTTGTTAAAAAAGCGAATTGTTCAGCATTGCAACAACCTGCCTTGAGAATAACTTTTGATTGTGTGTAATTAAATTATGGTTGTTCCTCATTTGATTCAAAACATAATCCTTTGAGGCAGCAGGATGTAATCTCTACATTCTATTTTAACAGTGTTGGAGAGAGAGACAGGTTATTTTATTTGCTCAAGGTAACCAAGTTAGTGAGTAGTAGAGAGATGGGACTTCACATCAGGTCTTCTGGTTTGTAGCTGCTTTTGTTATTCATGGGTACTGAATCCTCATTCCCTTGCTGAGGTTACCATATTTGTGTCAGAATGGAAGACCCTGTGTAACAGTTCTTGCATGGCAGAGAGATGAGGAGAAACTGGATAACCTTAAGTTCCCTTCTGATTTTCAGATTATCTTTTTGTTTTTTGTTTTTTTTAGTCAGAGTCTCACTCTTTCGCCCATGCTGGAGTGCAGTGGCATGCTCATGGCCACCCCAGTGTCAACCTGCTGGGCTCAGGTAATCCTTCCGCCTCAACCTTCCAAGTAGCTGGAACTACAGGCGCACACTACCATGCCTACTAATTTTTTGATATATTGTAGAGATGATGTCTCACCAAATTGCCCAGGCTGGTCTCGAACCCCTGGACTCAGGCAATCCTCTCATCGCGGCCTCCCAAATTGCTGGGATTGCAGGCTTGGACCACCATGCCTGGTCCAGATTCTCTTTTCAAAGGTGATTTGCTCTAAGAATTTTACTTTTAAGGAATTTTATTTTGTCTTGGGACAAGTATTAATATTGTATGAGTGCTTTACTATTGAGTGACTTCTGTGATCTAATTTAATGCTTTTATTATTCTTGTGTAGTAGGCATTATTATCACAGCATCTTCTGAGGAAAAGAAAAACATGAGACTAAAGACATCACGTGTCCCTTAACAACGGGAATGCATTCTGAGAAATGTATCATTAGACAGTTTTGTCCCTGTGACAGACATCATAGAGGATATTTATATAACCCTGGGTGGTGTAGCCTACTATACACCTAGACTATATGGTATAGCTTTATTGCTCCTAGGCTACACACCTGAACAGCATTTACTATATTGTATACTGTAGGCCATTATAAAACAATGGTAAGTATTTGTATATCTAAACATACAAAAGGTACAGTAAAAATTTGCTATTATAATCTTTTGAGGCCACCATCGTATAGGCATGTAGTCTTTTGTTGACCAAGTTGTCATTATGTGATGCATGGACTAATTTCTTCAGGGTCATAGCATTAGGTAGTTTGCATAGCTAGAACTCAAATGCAAGCTTTCTAATTCAGATTTTGTAAAATCATCCTGGTTTTTAAAAAGAAATATTAAAATAAAATTATTTTTTAATTTCTCAGAAGTTTTATTGTTAGAAAATTTAAGATTCCTTGGAATTTTCCAAATATTTCTATAACATATTCTAGGTTCTTTCATGATTTCATACATTTAGTCACTTAGTCCAATGTTGTTACTTTACGCCACATTCTGGGCAATCTGTATATTATTTATTATAATTTTGTGTTTTATTGTATCTGTTTTTCTTGTGAGCTATCAGAGTTCTAACCTTGCTTCTGTTCAAACTGCCTTCGATTTTTGTCAGTTGTTACTTGCATTTAGAGTCTGATTTTGTGAAATATTTATATTTAGATCTTGATGTTACATTCACTCTCCCTGTTGGTGAGTTGTTATATAGAGCAACTTTATTATATATTGTAATTGTATATAGGTATGTATTTACATATGTGTTTGTCTAGCATTTCATTTAGTGAGTTAATACCATTTGCTTCTTTTAAATGTGTCCAAATGAAAATATGGTTTTTGTTTAGAATTGCTATTTTTTATTGTTTTATACAAAGTTCCATGTAATGTGTACTAATAATTATTCATTAATTCCTTCTGAGGTTGAGTACTGCAGTTCAGAATTTTTACTTGGAAAACCTGGTGGGGATTAAGTACAAAATTTTATGGGTGGGGTGGGTATATTGAGTATGTGTTGAAATTACATCAGTGGTGGAATTTGTCTAAGTGAATTTTTCTCTTAAAGTAATTTCTTAGTCTTGGAGGAGAAAGATGAAGGCATACTTCATGTTAAAAGTATGTTGTGTACAAAGATGCCCACTCTCATCCCTCCTTTTCGATATAGTTTTGGAAGTCCTAGCTAGAGCAGTCAGACAAGAGAAGGGGATCAGGGGTATCCAAATAGGAAAGAGGAAGTCAAGTATCCCTCTTTGCAGATGACATGATTCTATACCTCAAACACCCAAGAGAATCTGTCAAAAACCTTGCACTGATAAAGGACTTTGGCAACGTGTAAAATAAATGTGCAAAAGACAGTCAGATTTCTATACACCAAAAATAAGCAAACAGAAACCCACATAAAAAGCACAATCCCATTCACAATAGCCACCAAAAACAAAAAAAGAAATCCCTTGGTATCTTCCTAACCAGAGATGTGAAAGACCTTTACCGTAAAAACTACAAAACACTGCTTAAAGAAATCAAAGATGACACAAGCAAATGGAAAAATATTCTGTGCTCACAAATTGGAAGAATCAACATTTTTAAGATGTGCATTCTACCCAAGGCAATCTACAGATTTAATGCAATACCCATTAAATTACCAGCAGCATTCTTCTCAGACCTGGAAATGACCATACGGGAATTTATATGGAAACATAAATGACCATAAATAACCAAAACAACCCTCAGCAAAACAAAACAAAACAAAAACAAAGCAGGAGGTATCACACTCCCTGACTTTAAACTTTATTATAAAGCTACAAGAACAGGCATATAGACCAATGGAACAGGATAGAGATTCCAGAAGCAAAACCTCAATTTCTCAACCAACTCATCTTTGATAAAGCCGCTACCAACATCTGGGGAGAGGAGAACCTATTTAGTAAGTGGTGCTGGGAAAACTGGCTGACCACATGAAGAAGATTAAAACAAGATCCCTACCTATCACCATACACAAAAATCAACTCTAAATGCATCAAAGACCTAAACGTAAAACCTCAACCTAAAGAACCTTAGAAAATGCAGGAGACACTCCTATGGAAATTGGAATTGGAAACCAATTCCTGATCCAAACCCCAAATGCCCATGCTGTAAGAGATAGATAGACAAATGGAACCTTATCAAACAGAAAAGCTTCTGCAAAACCAAAGAAACCATCAAGAGAGCAGGAAGACAACCCTCAGACCAGGAAAAAATATTTGCCAACTGTATGTCTGACAAAGGCCTAACATCTAGGATCTACAAGGAACTCAAATGGGCTGAAAAGAAAAAACCAAACAGCCCCATTACAAAGTGGGCAAAAGATTTGAATAAACACTTCTCAAAAGAAGTTATACGAGCAGTCAATAGGTACATGAAAAAATGCTCAGCCTCACTAGTCATCAAAGAATACTAATTAAAACCACACTGAGATACCACCTAACTCCAGTCAGGATGGTCATCATCAATAACTGGAAAACCAACAGATCCTGGAGAGGATGCGGGGAAAAGGGTACACTTCTACACTGTTGGTAGGAGTGTAAACTACTATAACCTCTGTGGAAAATAGTGTGGCAATTCCTAAAAGATCTAAAAATTAACCTTCCGTACGACCCAGCAATCCCCCTTCTGGGAATATACCTGGAGGAACTCAAATTTCTCTATAAAAAAGATACCTGCATACACATGTTTGTTGCAGCATTATTCACAATAGCAAAAACATGGAATCAACCATGCTGCCCATCGAAAGAGGACTAGATAAAAAAATGTAATACATATTCATGATGGAATATTAAGCAGCTACAAAGAAGGACAAAATTATGAACTTTGCAGCAACTTGAATGGACTTAGAGTCTATAATACTGAGTGATCTATCACAGAAACAAAGAACTGAGTGTCACTTGTTCTCCCTCATAAGTGGACCTTGAACAATTATTAAAATACTATAAGAAAAGGATTGGCAGTAGTGGAAAACTGGGGTGTGTGTGTGTGTGCTGAATTGGCAGTAGTGGGAATCTGATGCTAGGGAAGCGGGAGCATACCTCATCAACAAGGATACCTGCATAATGAACACTTGTATACCTAACCCTGAATTGTACCCCACATCTTTAAAATAAAAAATTTGAAAAAAATTGTGTGCCATGGCTGAAATGTTATTAAACTTTGTTTTGCGCCCTTAGCTAGTTCTGCATCTAACTTATCAGGGTCCATTTCATATGTGCTGTCTTTCTCTTTTGTATGCATCTTCTGTCTTTTATATAGGTTCTCTGTAGGAATTATGTATAAACTCCCTAAATGTTTCTTTGGTGTTAAGATAACTTTTTTGTTGTTGTTAATAGAGACTTCGCTTATAATTTCAACTTTTCCTTTAAGCTAGATTTCAGCTATGGGTTATCTGGAACGACCACCTAACTTTTCCTTTAAGCTAGATTTCAGCTATGGGTTATCTGGAAAGACCTATTTTAAAAAAAATGGGAGGAGGTATTCTTTTTATTTTACTTTTCATTTGGTTAATGAAATAAGGTAACTCCACCTGAATAAATTCTATTAAGTAGTTTGTTGGTGAGTCTATGCTCTGTTTTCCAGGTAAGTAAAATAATCAACTATTGAATATGCAAACTTTTAAGCCCAATTTTATGTTCTAGTGCCTTGAATGATTACTTTAAGTTGCTAGCTAATATCCAGAACTCTTTCATAATTATCTCTTTAATAAAATTTGTGTTATTCAGCATATGTTCTTTTTTTCTTCTTAGGGACATAGTTCTCAAACTACTTCAATATGAGGCATCAACAAATGTAGCAGACAACAAAGGTTATTTTCCTATTCACCTGGCAGCCTGGAAAGGAGATGTGGAGATTGTGAAGATTCTTATTCATCATGGACCATCACATTCTAGAGTCAATGAACAGGTGCATTTGTCAAATGTTTACTCATGCTGTCATTTTTCTAGAGTGTTGTAATAGCAAAGCCACATTTGGAAAATGGATTATTTGATCTTTACCCCGCCAGACACCTTTCTACAGGTGAAATTTGAAATTTGAAAGATTCTTTGGCATTTTGGATATGATCTGCAGACACTAAGTTGGGCATTTGTGAAGATATTTCGTTGATGAGAAAATCCCACATAAGAGAAGTAGTTGTAATATTTTTGTCTGTCTTATATAATCATCCATTTTATAGCTGTTGAATATTTAAAGATAAGAACAGAATTCACATTGGTAATGAGAATTCGAGTGTTTCTTAATACAATTTTAAATGTTAAAATAATGATGATAGCTATATTTGCATAATGCTTTTCCATTTACATGCTTACACAGTTAAATATACTATATTAAAATAAAAATGCAAAATGTAGTGTCTATGGTTGCTATTCACATATGAAGTTAAAACTTTCTAGTGTATTGCCACGTGCCCATTTCCCTTCCCTTGCAGTGTCCAGCATCTGCTGATCTCACCGTTGTGCTCCTGTGACTAGTGTTCAGGGCCCATTTATGAGTTGGAACATGCAGTATTTATTTCTTTGTTTCTGCAATAGCTCACTTAGTATGAAGATATCTGGTCCACTATCAGGGGAGAGAGGGCCAGCTACCAGCTGGAAGCCCAGACTTCACCTACATACAACTTACTTATGAAGTAAATTCTCATTTGTATCCTGCAACTCTAAAATAATTTAAAAAATTATTGCATTGTGCGCGCGCGCGCACACACATACACACACACACGTGCTCAGAGTAAGTTGAATAAAATACAGTAGCAGTATGATATGATACTGACAGATAAAGTAAAAGTATTTTTAAGTATGTAATATCTGTATTACACATAATAGACATATTTTAAAATGAATGCCATTCTCAGTATTCTAAACAGATAAGACCACAGATTTCAGAAAGCAAAATATAGTCCTTGAATACAGTATAACAAACATCTTGAGCTCTGCATGCCCCCTACTGTTCCCATTTTGTAAAACTATATTTGAAAACCAGCATGTAGTTCAACAATTGAATTACAATTATGGCATTAAGCTGCAGGTTGGCAGTTGCCCAGTATCAATGCAAGTAGGTTACTCTAGGGCAAGCACATCTAGTAATGTACAGGCTTTGCAGGACTTTGACTGAAATTCAGACTAAAGAATAAAAAGTAACAATAGTTATAAACAGCAAAGGGAAGAAAAACATATTGTTTTCTACAAAATGCTGTTGTTGAAAGGACTAACCAGGAAAACATTTGATACATTGGAAAAGTGTCTTACTAATTTTATTTATCCTGCTGGGCACAATGGTGCATGCCTGTATTTTCAGCCCTTTGAGAGGCTGAGATGAGAGAATTGCTTGAGCCCAGGAGTTTGAGACCAGTCTAGGCAACATAGCAAGACCTCGTTCAGAGTACTTTGTTCACTGCTATTGCTATTGGCATCAAGTTGAAATTTTCTTTATGATTTTTAATACCATGCTTTCAGTATTTTGTTTCTTTATTATGTATATACACTTAAGTGCTGAGGTAGTTCTCCCGTTCCATGCCTTTTCTCCTAAAAGTTTCTTATGTGGGCATTTTATTTTTATAAGTAACTTTTAATTTTAGCTTTCTTTCTTTCCTTTTTTTCTTACCAAGTGGGACAGGAATATTCTAGCTAATTATAAACTTTTATGTATTTAAACAATAGAGGAAAGAAATGAAAAATGGTAACTAGCATTTATTGAGACATATGGTAAACCAGGCACTTTTCTGAGCGCTTTCAACTGTAAAATGTCATCTAATTCTCACTGTCATTCTCTGAAGTGATAGTGTCATTCTCATTTTATAGATGAGAAATCGGGCTCAGTAAAGCTAAATAACTTGTGTGAGGCCATGTGTTACTGAGTTACTAAAACTGAGACTGGGGCTCAGTTCTCTCTGACTCCAGAGCCCTCCACAATAGTATACTGCTGTTGTCATCCTAAATCACATCATTTCATGCATTGTTTATTGTATGCCAGGCATTGTGTGAAGAATGTCATCTGTATTATCTTCCTGAGCCCTATAGCAACCTGAATGAGGTAAATAGATATTGATTATCATTTTTACTTTATATATGGTAACCTTAGTAACCTTAGAGCGGTCACTACTGAGAGTAGCCAGTATTACTGAGAGCAGCCAGTATTGGAACACAGGTTTTCCTGATCCAAAGTTCAGGATCATCTTAACCAATGATGCTCTGTGTTAGGCTGTTACAATTATGCATCATACTCAGAGTTTCATTCTGATTTCTGAAAGTTACTTTTTTATACAACTCTCTTTAAAAATAGTCATATTTTACATTTTGTTAACTAACAAACATTGTTCTAGATATCTATTTTGGTTTATAAACTACACTGTAAAGTTTGTAGTGTAGGTAATATTCTTCTTGTACAGATAAATTAAAATAGGTTTGGAGAAATCAAGTGATTTACTGTTGCTAATAAGTGACATGTTAACACTGTTTACCATTCTACACTGCCCTAGGATTAGTGACCAATTTACGGTGACATAATTTTGAAATATGAAGTGGGCTCTGCCTGAATTTTGTTTTTTGTGATTACTGCATCCTTCCCATCTTTTGTCAGCTGATTTTTATTATTTCCTTTCCTCTGATGTTATATGTGTTTTAAATTTCTATTTCTTTATATTTCATTCATCTTTTCCTCCTTTCACCTTCTCTTCCTCTTTTTTTTTTTAAATGTATTTTAACATTAGGGCAAAAAGCAGAGGAGCCTTATCTCAAAAATACATTACCTTTGCCATTCACCAAAACTTGAACCCAACTCTTGTTAGATGTTTTACTTTGAAACTTTTGTCAGCCAGTATTGTTCTGCTAACTGTCGTCTGGAGGTGTCCTAATTTTTTCAGAGAATACCCATTTGAAAGAAGGAATTCAAGCTGGGCTTGGTGGCTCAGCCTATAATCCCGTGCCTTTGAGAGGCTGGGGTGAGTGGACTGCCTGAGCCCGCGGGTTCGAGACCCTCCTGGGCAACTTGGCGAGACCTCATCTCTACAATAAATCAAAATGAGCCAGGTGTGGTAGCGCGCACCTGTAGTTCCAGCTACTCGGAAGGCTGAGGCGGAAGGATCGCCAGAGCCCAGCGGTCAAGGCTGCGGTGGCCGGGAGCGGCCACTGCACTCCAGTCTGGGTGACAGAGTGAGACTCCAACTCAAAAAAAAAAAAGGAAAAGAAAAAAAAAGAAAGAAGGCATTCAAAACCTTTTATGAATGTTCTGTGTAGCTATACTAGCAGTTATTAATCAGTGCTTCATCAAAGCCTATTTACTTCAAATTAGTTTTTTTTTTTTAGATTACCAGTAAGAATGGGCACAAGTATATGATCATGCCTTTGTAAAAGTACCACATTTGTGGTCTCCGCTGATATGACAGTCTTAAGTATGTGTTGATCATGTTTAAAAGCTGTGAACATTTTCTCCGGAGTAGGTCTTGAGTAATCGAAATACTTTCTCTTGGGATCTGAACAGTGCTAATTGGTGTCATTAGAAAAATGTTCAATTCTACTCTTATAATGTTCTAGTCTAAGGGTTCTAGAAAGGTAAAGAGGCCTTTGAAAAATTATTATTTCATAATTGGCCCTTCTCTTTTCTCAAGAGGATACCGTATTTTGAAAAATTAGATTGATTCTCTTTCAGACCAAGGGAAAATTTGGGTTGCTCAGAAAGTATTATTTTTATATCACATTTTCATGGTATAAAGTAATAAGTTTGGTTTTCTTATCAGACTTATAAAGTTTAGCCAGATAAGAAAATCAGGGAGTCTAAACCTATATGTGGCAGTGCTCATGAAGAAGTAGATTATAGTAACACCTTCAAACCAAGTACAAGAATGATTTCCCACACATGATGGAAGAAACAATACCCTCAGCTGGATTTCCCTGTCTATCAGATCTTAACTTTTCCTTCGCTGGCTTCCAGGAGTAGGTTTTGCCTCTGGGTTTGAACTCCCTTTCTTTATACTTACTTGAAATGTGAAGTAGTAGGAAGCCTTTCCTGGTGCTTTTTCCCCCCTTGCCACTCTTCTATTAAGTCTTCAAGTCTTTCTTCTGAACTCTCAACTTACCTGCATTCTTCTGTTATCCAGAGCAAACTTGAGTTACTTTCTGGAACATTAAGACTTGTTTGGGTTTGAACTCTCTTTGTTCTTCTGTTTTGGTCAGGACAACTATCTAAACAACTACTTCCTATTTTAATGCAGTTAGTGTTTTTCTGAGCAAAGTTACTAGAAATTCTGCTTCCAAATCATTAATTTCTAGCTCTTCTTCTTTGACAATATAGCTACATGTAGAAGGCAGTGTGGATAGTGGAAAAAGTGTGAGTTTTAATGGATGCAGTTTCCCAAAGATTCTGCTTAGATATTCAATTTAACCTTTTTGTATTTTCATTTCCTTGTTCATGAACCAGAGATAATATTATCAGTCTTGTAGGATTGTTGTAAGGGTTAAATGAGACTGTTAGGGTCATGCCAGTGGAGCCTCCAAAGTATGTTGGGGTCTCACTCACCCAGCGGGGCCTTCAGAATGTTAGGTCAGGAGCACTGGGGATGTGGGTGTCTGGGATGTGATCCAGTGCTGCATGAAAGATGCAAAGAATTGCACAGAAGTTAAATTAAAGAATATAGTTTATTTAGAAAGTAAATGAGAGAGAGAGAGAGAGAGAGAGAGAGAGAGAGAGAGAGACAGACACAGACACAATTCACCTCCCCAAGGCAGGGAAGAGGGCTAAAGCTTAAGAAAACATGACCTGGCCATAGCTCAGAGAGCACATGGTGGTCTGTTATCATTTTTATGGCTCAGTCCTTGTCTTGCATCTGATGGAGATTTGCCAAGGGGATAGGGGAGGCTACTAACTTGGCTTGCAGTAGAATGTCTGAACGCTTCCTAAAACCTGCCTATTGGAAATTTATCTGTCTATCCTGTGCTAGATTCAAAGCGTGTCAGTCAAAGCACAAATGGTTACACTGAGGCAAAATGGGAACTAAGTTTATTCTAAGTTTTTATAGGTACCTCTTTTCACCAGATGAAAAGGTCAACTAAGGCAAGGTGGGCCAGAGCCAGTACTGGGGCTGCTGGAATAATGCAAGTTTACAACAAGGAAGAAAGTAGGGAAAGTAAAGTTTATTATTCACCTTTCACAGATTGGAAAGGGGACTGACACCCAGAGACAAGTGTGACCCCAAAGGGCCATGAAATGGATATATTTAAGAACCTTTGGGTAGGGATTTTTGGCCCGAAGGAGTGACCAAGGCTCTAGGTCTTTGATGTTGATTGTAGTCACATGAGTCTTAGATCTTGAGGTCATCAGACATCGGCATCTTATGCCCTCAGATGGTGGGCTAGATGGGAGGAGACATGGGAGGGGAGACGGTTTCTGCAAGAGACTTGTTAAACATTTGCAATCTACAAACTCCTTGACCAAAAGGTGTTCTATTATCTTTTCTTTGGCTCTGTCCTTGTCTTGCATCTGATGGAGATTTGCGGAGGGGGTGGGTAGGCTGCTGCTTGACCTGCAGTAGAATGTCTGCATGCTTCCTAAAACCTGTTTATTGGAAATTTATCTATCTATGTCTAACCTGTGCTAGACTCAAAGCATGTCAGGGGTAAAGTCTAAGCAAAAATGGCCATGCTGAGGCGAAAAAAGAAAAACTAAGTAAAGTAAGTTTATTCTAAGTTTCTATCAGTACCTTCTTTCATTCATTTATTATCTCTCTCTCTCTCTCTCTCCCCCAATATATAAAAGTATATATATATATCTAAAGTTATTAGGCACTCAGCAAATTACAGTACAGTAGTAATAGTTGTAGAAGGTAATATGTAGAAGGTAATATGTGCGATGGTTAAGAGCACCAACTTTTGGTCTTGGCTACTTGGGTTCAAATCTTAGACTCACCACTAAATGGCTGTATAACTGAAGGCCAGTTATTCAATTACTCAGTGCCTCAGTTTCTTCATCTGTAAAATGGGGATAATGAGAATAATAGTATGTATCTTATAAAGAGGATTACATGAGTAAACATATGTAAAATGCAACTGTGTCTGGTACAGTCTTAGCTATGATGATGACTCTGATGACTGCTACTGTTTCCCCTCAGAACCCTCATTTTGGATCATTGCATTTTTGTTGCTAAAATTTTTTGTTCACATTTCTCTTGATGATTCTTCCAACTCTGACATACCCATACCCTTCTGTCTAATGTTCTGACAGATCTATCTGCCTTGCAACTGTGTTCTGTTTTCTTTATCTTAACATTTTAAAAATCTTGCTAAATAGCTAGGAAAATCTCATTTTTTTCCCAGTGGAAACACAGTGTACATGTAGTACTGTGATACTCCATAATTTTGTTTCAGAAAGATCCTATTAAATTTGGGGGTCAGAATGTCTTCATTCTCTTTGCAAAAAGAGCAGTGATTTGTACTTATATGGAAAATAAATAGAAACAATTTCAGAAGCCTTTATATAAATCTTTATTATCAAGAATTTACCATCTCACCTGTCTTTTGGAAAGCCAGTTTATTAGAAGTGTGTTAAAATTGTTATTACTCTCTCTTATTAACAAGTATCACAGGAACATGATGCACAGTGCAGATGACACTGGCCATCTGGGCCCAGCAAGACCACTGACTAACATGGCCAATTCATTTGACATTCTTGAACATTGGAATATATGATAAAGGGAAAAGTTTGATATTTTCCATTAAAGTGAAAAAAATGATATTTTTGATGCAATGAATGATAGATACTTTTATCAGATGTAAAATTCAAGTAAATACTGTGTTTAGATTTTGAAAACCAGTTGCATTTCTGAAAATGTGCCTATTTCATTGTTGTCTTAAACAGAACAATGAAAACGAAACTGCCCTACATTGTGCAGCACAATATGGACACTCGGAAGTAGTTGCTGTTCTCCTAGAAGAGCTCACTGACCCTACAATTCGGAACAGCAAGCTTGAAACCCCTCTGGACCTGGCAGCCCTCTACGGACGGCTCAGAGTGGTCAAAATGATCATCAGTGCACACCCTAACTTAATGAGCTGCAACACGCGCAAGCATACCCCGCTTCACCTTGCTGCGCGCAACGGTCACAAGGCAGTTGTTCAGGTGCTGCTGGAGGCAGGAATGGATGTGAGCTGTCAAGTGAGTCTTCTTTCAACTGATGCTTTTAAAGTGATGATGCTATGCTTGGCTTTGAGGTAACAGATGTTGAAACCTATACATAGAAATCTTTTCATCGAGTTGTCCACAAGTATTTTAAAAATTTTTAAATTTACTTTATCTTGTTTGAGTTGAGGTCTCACTCTGTTGCTCACATTGGAGTACAGTGGCACAATCATGGCTCACTGCAGCATCAACATCCTGGGCTCAGGTGATCCTCCCTTCTCTGCTTCCCAAGTAGCTGGAACTTTAAATGCATACCACTACGCCAGGCTAACTTTTTGATTTTTCATAGAAACGAGATCTTGCTATGTTGCCCAGGCTGGTCTTGAACTCCTGGGCTCAAGTGATCCTCCTGCCTTGGCCTCCCAAGCTGTACCACATGCATTTGGGAAATGTAAAGAACTGTAAAGCATGGTCTCTAATGTCATTCTAATCTGAGGGCTGTACACCTGAAAGATTGCCAATAGACAGCAGTTGTGTGTGATATTGTTAGTCATTGCTTCCTTCCTCCCAGTATCTAGCATATAGCCTGCATATTAGGAATCCAGTCAAAGGTGAATTAGTGGATGAATATAACAAAGTTCACTTTAACATTTTTGAGTTATGTACTTTGTGTTCAGCCAGTTGACACATTTAGAATTCGGTACTCACAGCTCTCCTGTTGGATTTAGAGCCATTCAATTCAGATTCAGGGCTGGGTTCGGTGGCTCAGCCTGTAATCCTGTGCTTTGGGAGGCTGAGGTGAGTGGATTGCCAGAGCCCGCGGGTTTGAGACCTGCCTGGGCAACTTGGTAATACCTCATCTCTACAGTAAATCAAAAAATTAGCTGGGCGTGGTAGCGTGCGCCTGTAGTTCCAGCTACTTGGAAGGCTGAGGCGGAAGGATCGCTGGAGCCCAGTGGTGGCCGGAGCGGCCACTGCATTCCAGTCTGGGTGACAGAGTGAGACTCCAACTGAAAAAAAAAAAAAATTTAGATTCAGAGACTTGAGAGATTTGCCTAAGAACACAAAGCTGACAAAACTAGAATGTGAATTTAGACTTATGATTAAAGTCCAGGCCTCTTTCCACAATAAGATAATGTCTATACATAGCTAATGGAGGAACAGTTGGGCAGTCAGAAAAAAGTTGTATTGAAGAGATGTGATTTTTGTTGCGCTTTGGAGGAAGAATAGCATTTGAATAGGTTTGTTTATCCACAAGGAAAGGTCAACCTTCTTTTATTTTCTGCCTCAAGTTAGTCCCAACTCCAGGGCTTTTTTTTTTCTTCCCCTTTTTCTCCTTTTATGATTGTTTCTTGGTTCCCACGTTTGTAGCAGCATTCTTATCTTCCAGAGACCCTTTTGGTTCCTGTATGATTGTGACCTTTTCCCCTTCCTAGTAAGCTATTGCTGTACAACTATCCCAAACCTTAATGGCTTAGCACAACAGCTATTTATTTAGCTCATAATTCTGGGATTGACAATTTAGTCTAAGCTCACCTGGGTGGTTCTTCTGGTCATGAATGGGTTCTCTTGTGTGTGGGGTCAGCTGTAAGTCCATTACATTTTTTGTTTCGAGTGGCTGGATGTTGTCTGGATTGATGGGTGAGACTACCTTGTAGTTACCATGAGTCAGCAGGTCATCCTGTGCTCATTCACAAGGAATGTATGTTTCTGAGAGAGAACAGAATTATCTAAGGCTCCTTGAGACCTAGGCTTAAAGCACACCATCACTTCTGCTATGTTCAGTTGACTAAAGCAAGTTGTAAAGGCAACCAAAACTAAAGGAGTGGGAAAATAGACTACCTCTGAATTAGAAGAGGGTGTGAATTGAATACCCAGAGGCAATAAATGTGGCCAATTTTGCAAACAGTCTATACACTCCAGGTGAAATTAGTGCTCAACTGTAGGATTACTTTCCCCAAGAATTGTTCAGAGGTTGAACCCTGTCTTTCTAGGATGTCCTTTATTGAATTTTTAAAATCTTAGGCCTTCTAATATTAGGTTTAAACCTGGCATTGTGAGTCAGAATTTTCTTTAGAGCTTTGCCTGCATTATTTAGTTGTTTAGATAGTTGTATCTACATTTGTATCTTCTCCCTTTCTTATATATTCAACTGTTGCGGCCTTGCAAAAAAGAACAAGAATTTTTTCTAACCTTCATATTAAGGAAGGAAGAGTCTTTCCTTTCAAAGGGGTATTGAAATTAGGTAGATGCTTGTTTACTATTAGAGGTTACTCACAAAGTTACTTCCTTAAAGGCAGTTTAATGTTTAGTTGGCCAAAGCAAGTCATAAAGACAACTGAAACTAAAGGGGTGAGAAAATGGTGTAAATGTTAAATTTAAATGTTTTAATTTAAATTCAATTGTGTAAATGTTAAATTTACCTAATCTGGATTTACTGCTTTTGTAACACTTGTAGAATATTTCTAAACTTGATTGCACAGACTGTTTTATAGCCAAGATTTTTGGTATCTCTGTCCAAGATCTTTTCGTATTTTATACTAGATGACATAACCAGAAGAGAAAAAGTTTACTTTCAATTTTATAAATGTATATGGTATATCCTTTTTTGTGCAAAACACTGTATTTTGTGCTATTGGGAATTAAAAATTAAATAGATCTCTGCCCCAGATTTAGTAGAGGAGACAAAAATTTGCATGACTAACTCCTTTGCATGACCTATAGTAAATGTTAGTAGAAGAACTATGGGGAGTGATAGGTGAGGTGAGAAAAATATAGAGTTAAAAGGGAGAGCATGGGAAGTTATTAATGGAAATGACATGTGAAGAGAATCTTGAAAATACAACAGGACTTTGAATTTTAGGTATAATTTAGCTTGCCTAAATTTTTTGACTGAAAGGTGTCTTAAAATACTGAATTTGAATGCTTTTAGATGAGTGTCTGCCTTCCAAGGTCCCAACTTCATTCTACTATCTTATATCAGTCCTTCCTTTGGATATTCTACTTGTCCCTGACAACATCTAGATTTGTTGCTCTCATATCAGAGGGCAGGGGCACAATATATTCAGGCTTTGAACACCTATCAGAAGCATCAGGGCTGCTGGTACCTGAGTAGGAGGGCAACCTTTTGTGCTGCTAAAACCTCTTTTATTGATGCTTACTCTTTGAAGTGCTCCGTGATGTAGAACTGAGAACACATTTCTAAATATATCTCAATGAGAGGCATCAGTTAGCCTTTGTTGATGTTTTGCTTTTGTTACTGTTGCTTTGTTTATAGAAAATACTTTCTTGGTCTCATTGCCTTTCCTTGGGTGGATATTTAATTTTATTACTCAAATTAATTGTTGCCAAGTTTTCCCCATCAGATGCACTGCAAAATTTTTAAATATCAAATAAGTGTTTATTGATATTCTCACTGACTGAGAATGAACAATGCTAGTCAGTAACCTTAAACTGTTTCACTAGATTTACTATTCATTAAATTGCTCTAGTTAACCAATAAGGAATTAGCATTATTAAAAGTAATCCCATTTGGTAAACTATAGTAATGCACTTGTAGACTTCAATTGCATTCAAGTTGTTATGAATACATTTTTAAGATTTACAGATGGCTTTGGAGGATCATGTCTTTTCCTTGTAGTTCCATATGTTTTAAAATGCAGCATTTATATTAGTATTTTCTCAAGAAATTTTGTTTCTGCTTCATTTTTCTCTGAGCAATTTTAAAATTATAGCATATATTTAAAATAGTAAACAAAACAATTTAAGTTTTGCTTGAGCAAATTTTATATTTACTTATAAACTTTAGTTGTAAAAAATTTCTTAAAGATAATCAGGCATATTAAAGTATTAAGAAATAGGGTTGAATTGGCTATGTTCTCCTGAAATTAGCAATTATTTCTATGGATTTTGTACTTGATTTTGGGTAACCAGGTAGTGATAGTGCCACATTATGCTAATGCTTTAACTGTGTGCATTTCTTATAAGGTTCTCTTGTTAAAACTTGGAGAATTAAAGAACTACTGTAATATTAAGCCAATTAGACTTTATATGAATATTAAAAGAAATTAAAGTAAAATTACAGAAAGTTAATAATAAAGAGTACAAGTTTCCAAGCTAGGAACTGCTGAGATGCAAAATTAAGTAAGGTACAGTTTTTGATCTCAGAGGCTTATGGTGGCAGGAGAAATAGATATGTTCATACATGGATAGATTACTTAATCAATTTAATTATTTATACCTGCAATCCCCTAGATGATAATTTCACTACTTCTTTCTTCTCAAAACTTCGATACTTTCTTCTCTTTTAGCCCACTCTTATCATGACATTACTTTTATTTCACTGAGAAAACAGAAGCAATCATACATTTCCACAACCACATCTGCCAAGGTATGTGTGTCAGCTTTCCTTCCTGGAGCTATAAATGAATGATTTAGATTTACAGCTAAGACTAACTCCTCTACTTGTGTGTTGGATCCTATTCCTTCTTATCTACTTGGGATACAAGTACATTGCTCCAGCAAATAATCTTTCTTTGATACTATTATGTTTTCTTTCTCAACTGTATCATTCTCCTAAGGACACAAAGATATACTATTTCCCATCTTTAAAAGATCCTCTCTTGATTCCATATTTCCTCCTAGTTATTATCCCCTTTCCCTGATCCTGTTTATAGCAACATATTTTTATTCATTGTGTCAATTTGCTTTCCTTCATTCTCTCTGGAAGCCACTTCAGCCTCCTCACTCTTTTCAAAGTCTTGTTTTTTTCCTTTTGTGAAGGTGTCTAATGACTGTCATATTGTTAGAGCTAGCAGCCACTCTAACTAACTCCACTCCTCATCATACATGATTCATTACCAGTGTTGACAGCATTGATTTCTCCCTCTTCTCTGAGACACTTTCTCTTTTTGCCTCTGAAATACTACTCTCTTTTGGTTCTCATTTAGTTCACTGATGACTTTATCTTGATGCTGTAGGTTAGTCTGGGACGTTGTACTCTGTGTATCTATTATCTTTTTTCTAGGACTAATCAG